TGGAAGGAAATGTGTCCCCTCAGGGAGGGGGTTCCTGAGTCATTTTTTACCCTGAGGGTGGGGAGGCCCTGGCCCAGGTTGGGCAGAGAAGCTGTGGCTGCCCCTGGATCCCTGGAAGTGTCCAAGGCCAGGTTGGACGGGGCTTGGAGCAACCTGGGCTAGTGGAAGGTGTCCCTGCCCATGGCAGGGGGTGGGACTGGGTGATTTTTAAGGTCTTTTCCAACCCAAACCATTCCATGTTCCTATCTGTCACTATGGGCTGTGAGGCAGCCACCATTCCAATTTAAATATCCCAGTCAGGTGCCTGAGGTTTGGCAGAGGGATGCTGAGCCAGAATTCCTCAGATCACTTCATCCCATTAAACTGTTTTCCGGGTTTAATCCTGATTTTCTCTTTTCTGATCAGAAACAGCCTTTAAGCCCTGAATCTGTTTATCCCTCAATCTGATTTAGCCAGAATCAGCTAATAAACCTCCTGTTTTCTCCGACAGGATCCCAGCAGTCGTGGAACATCGCCAGTGCCACGGCAGCCAGCAAGGAGAAAAACCCGTTCCCAGCTTTTCCTCCTTCCCACCCTGGTTCTGTTCCATCCCTTCCATCCTAGTAAACCATGGCCCAGCCTCCCCATTCATACATTTATTCCCGTGTTCCCCGAGCAGCTCCGACTCCTCGGTGCCTGCGCTCCGCTCTCGGGGAGCTCTACCTCGTTATTATCCTCGTTATCCTAATTCCCGGTTTCATGGCCTGCAGCCACAGCCTGAACTCCTTCCCTTGCACTAATAATACACCTTTCAGCTCCTGTTTTAGCAGAGCACTCCCACTGTCCCTCACTAATTGACTCACCTGCCTAATCACTCTTCTGGTGTGTCAGCACTTTCTCTCTCCTTGCTGCCCACCCCTCTGCCCACTGACACATTTTATCTTCATTTCCTTGCTTTTTTTTCCCTCTTTTTTTAAAAACTGAGACTCTGTAGAGATCACCTGGATCTCTCCCATTAAATCACATCGTTTTTTTCCCATCACAGACCAGGAAGAAAAAGCTTAGTCAGGTGGCCGTGTCCTTGAGTTGCCTGACACTGGAAGGCACAAACATTATAACAGCTGAGGTTTATTTTCCAGAACAGCTGAACAATCCTGTGGATCAGATCCCAAGAATTACGAGTTTCCAGCCACCTTAGTGAATATAAATCCAACAGCCTGGAAACTCAATTAGATCTGGAAGAGGTTGCCCAGAGAGGTTGTGGATGCCCCAATCCCTGGAAGTGTTCAAAGCCAGGTTTTGGATGAGGTTTGGAGCAACCTGGGACAGTGGATGGTGTCTGTGCCCACGGCAGGGGGTGGGAACTGGATAGTTTTCCAAAGCCAAACCATTCCAGGATTTTATGACCTTGTCACTGTTTGTCCTCTCAGGCTGCCTGGTCCCATCAGGTGTGGGGAGGGACACAGATTATTAATTAAGAGGTTGTAACAGTCACAGTTCTGGCTATCTCTGTTATTAATCACTTCCACTGAGCTCACATTCAGAGTCCTCTGTCACGTGGATCCAAGATAGAAAGAATTCCCACGTCGAAAACTTGGCAATTAACACGTCATTGGCACCAGCCACGACCTGATGTTTAAATATTCATTTTTTCCAAGATCTCTGCAGTCACCAGGAACACCTGTACTTTACATTCTCCTCTGCAATTAGCACATTAATCAGTCCTATATCTTAATACCTTAAAGTTCACCTTTAAAAGCCCTCGGGGTTCACAGAATTTCGGGGGAAGCTGAACCAGGCAGGTCCATCTCTCTCCAAAAATCCCACCCCCAAGCAATGGCCTTTTAAAAAATTCCTCTCCAATTCCTCATTTCGAGTGACATTTTATTGGAGAGGCTTTTAGCACATTAAACCTCCGCCTGAGTAAGTCTCTGGATATTGTTAGAAAATTAATAAGGAACGTGAACGGCTTCCTGTGCGATGTGTAAGCGGTAAACAGGCAGCAAAGCCGCCCTCCTCCCCTCCCTGCCTGCCAATTGCTCGGCTAAAAATAAAGGGAATGACAGAGAATTTCGGGATTGTGTGACAAGAGGAGCCCTTCAGTCACTTTGCAGCCGAGAAAAGCAAATGGCAAGTTTTTCCTCACCGATGACATTTGGATCCGTTATTAGAGCTCCCGCTCTCCCCTTGGATTAGTGGAGAACGGCACTGAAATCAGGCAGGCTGCTCCTTGTGCTTCCAGGGAAAGCAAGCATGGAATTGCTGCTGCTTGCAGTGGGATTTACTCTTTTATTCCTGCCTTTTCCTCACCCAGCACCTCATCCCCTCACCTCGTGACGTGTTGTTTTCTTGAGCCTCGCTCATAAATCACCGGGCGCCGATTTTTAGGGATGTGGTTAAACAAGGACCGGGGAAGGCTGAGCCCGACAAATTTAATTGCATTTGTAACAGGAGATGGGTTTGGATATCAAGCTGCATTTTCCCTGTCAGCAGTTTAATTATTTTAAGGAATGTTTGCCTTGACGTCCTCGAGCGCTCGCATTCATCGAGTGCTGAAAAATAACACCCAAATCACCACGGAACCAACGCAGGCTCTGCCTTTTGGGAGATGTTACATGGCAGAGGAACGCTCCGAGCAGAATAAATAACTCAGGAGCCAGGAAATGTGATGGAGGCACCTTTATTTTTCACTCTAATTCAGCTTAGCTATTAGTAGAGAATAAAAACCGGTGCAGTTATTTATTGTCTGATATCACCGGGCAGTCTGGAGGTATATCCATATGGACAGCTGGATATATTGCTAATACCCACACCAGAAAGGCTTTAATTGCCTTTGAGATGGAGCTCAATAACTTTCTGAAAGATTAAACGAGGTTCTGTCTGTAAAACATGGCTCGTGGAGCTGCAGTCGATGACCCTGGAGATTCCTCTCCCTCCTCCACAGTTCTTGATCCATGAGGGAAGGACTGTCAGTGCCGTGTCAGATCAGTGAGCTGCATCTTCTGCTGCTCCAGCTTCAGCTGTCACCTCCTCCTGGAGCTTTAGAGGAAGCAAATGAAATAAGTAAATAAATAAAAAATCGGGATTTTAAGGGGAAATTCCTGCCTTGCCCTTGCTGGCAACCAGCTGAAACGTGGAATGTTAAGCAGGGCTTGTAGGGAATGCCTCAGGGAGAGTGTTGTCATGGAATGATTTGGGTTGGAAGGGACCTCAACACTCATTTTGTTCCAACCATGGACAGGGACACCTTCCACTAGTCCAGGTTCTGGCTGTGCCAGGGGAAAGTGGAGCTCCTCATTCCCTCCTGGCACCTGAAGGGGAGCAACGGAGGATTGCAGGGATCAGGAAGCAACGGAGGATTGCTGGGATCAGGAAGCGATGGAGGATTGCAGGGAGCCCACTGACACCCAGATCTAAAGGTGTTTATACAGAGATTCATCTCAACTTCTCCACCTGCCCAGGCTGCAGAGCATCTCCTCAAACTCCAGGCTTCTCCTTTTGTCAGCCCGAGTGGGAAAACAGTCCCTGAGAGTCCACCACTGACCATCTCTCCTGCTGCAGGTTCGGAGTGAACTGAATGGATTTCCCTCCTCGGAAAATCGTTTTCATTCCCTGGTAACAACAGCACTGTCTCAAAATGCCTGCTGCGAGATTTCAAAGGATGTCCATCACCAAGCCCCAGAGCTCGGGAATTCAGGGATCTCTGTGAGTGGGCTGGGACAGAAGAGAAGGGAAATGGTTCCCTGTCACAGGACAAGCTCATGGCCACCAAGCTCATTTGGAAAACCACTAATTTTACAGGAATTTCCTCTCAGTGTGCACCTGCTGAGACCTCCCCCTGCAGAGCTGCCTCCAGCCCTGGGAGCAACAGCACAAGGACTTGGAGCTGCTGGAGAGAGTCCAGAGGAGGCCCCGGAGCT